AATATATATATATATATATATATATATATATATATATATATATATATATATATATATATATATATAAGTTTAATTTTGGTATTTAAAGATTGTTGGAAGTTTAAATTTTCGTATTTAGAGACTGAAATAATAAAAATGTCTAGAATTAGGTACATTTTCAGACATCCTGGTATTTCCATCTTAATCTGTCATTGTGATAACTTTATTTTAATATTCAGGAACAAATGTACCGTTAGAAAATATTAGTGACCATAACATGGTTAGTAAATATTAGTAAAAAATTAATTATATTGCGTGAATGTTATGTCGGTCCGTATACGCAAGTAGACGGGCGTACTTTCCTAGCCCGCGAGCGCGTTGGAAACATTTGCTAGGATTAACGTAGCACACGCGCAAGGAAGGGAGCTAAGAAAACCCACGGATGGAGGACGAAGGACGATGTGCAGAACGAAAGAGTGGTGGAGGAATTGGAGGAGCAAGAGCAGAAAAGCGAGCGGATGGGCGGGCTGGCGGCGGCTTCGCCTTGGCGTGGTATTTACGACGTCATTTCCTCGCTGACTGTCAATAATTTCCCTTGGGGATGCGGAAGACACCGCGCCAGCCGCGACGGTGCCTCCGTCCTGCCGCACACTGCGCCGCGTCAGTCCACGGACGTTCCCCTTGCGTCCGCCGTCCGTTTCGCTATCTACCTATCGCCGCTACCACCTTTTTCATCTCTGTGCAAATTGAAAAGACGTCGACGAGAGCGAGCCAGCGCGCGAAGCCCGCGAGCCTGCCGAAAAGTAATATCGCGTAGACGAGAGAGACGGGCCCGTAAACGCTCCGATTGGGATAGGAGGGGAGCGAACTGGGTAATTCGCTTCGAAGCGGATTCGAGGCTCTCGCATGTCGAGCGAGACTCGCGAGGCGTTCGTCTCTGCTTCCTCTCCGACGTAATCGGTTAAGTTAATGGCAAAACCCTACGAAATTCGAGACTTAATTATTAGAGAGGTTCCCGGCAGTTATCACAAACCAGACAAACTTTGTCTTCATTATATTTATGAAGCGAATATACTAATTAATTACGAAATTTACATCATAAAATAGCGTGAATCTTTAGATATATTGATGTACAGCAAGAAATTTGCTGAAAGTTTTCCCCCAGATTTTCATGTTACATGTTAAATGACTTAGTGTCTTGAGCGAATTTTTATCATCTTTTTCGTATTTTTACTTCGCCATTCCGCGCGATAAATAAATGAATGCCGTACATAATCATTCATAAGGGATGCAACTTTTAACAAATAGACAGTTACTGCCAAATATACGTACACCTGTCTATCTAGGCAAATAAGGGAGGGTTAGCTGGCTACTGGAGTAAAAGCTGGCAAAATTGATTATTTCTACTGTTCTTTAAGATTTCAGAATCAAGCAAACAGGGATTTAAAAGTCATTTCTAATATGTTGACAAAAATCTTGCTTGTTTTTTTGTAATTCTGTAACTTGTTAGAAAGTGGCAGGCTTCTTTTCTAAATTTTGTCAGCTTACCCCGATAGTCAACTAGCCTCGGTTTCTCTTAATTGCAAAATGCTTATTCTTTATCAGTTTCCACTTGAGAACACTATATAATATACCCAAATAGGTAGAGTAAATAAATTTGATAGTAAATTTTCCAGTCGATTTGGTTGAATTCCTAACGAGTAGTTTATATATAGCGCAAGTATAAATAAGGAAAATATTTTTAAATTAAAGTGTCGTGTGAGATACAAAAATCTGAGTAAAACTTTTACCAAATTTTTTGCTACATTAATATAATAAAAAATTTAATATATTTGATAATTGCATTAATATGTTAAATAATTTAATAATTAATTCAACACAGTAAATTTGCTTCATAAATATAATAAAAAAATGTCCTTCATTGATTGTCCTTCATTGATTGTCCTTCATTGATTATCTCACGTCGTGATAGTCATGAAAATTTACGTGGATGTAAGCAGTATTTTTTTATGAGCTACTTATGTGGGAAAGCTGTTCAACTTGTTATAAAATCGATTGATCAAATAACAGCTTTGTCTGCGGACTTTTAAGTGTGCCTCATTTGGAAGTACGCGTAACTGTCTATAAATACTCTTAATATATCCGCTGCGTTTGAGTCCTCCTCGGAGAGGAGAGCGAGGAATGTTCGCTCGAACACGTGGGAATTCTACCCACTTGCATTTCATTTCGAAACACTTGATTGCTCGTGAGCGATCGCTGATACTACTTTTCCATTGAGTAATTGGTGTGATTGTAATTTTTCCATCAAGCATCCGGACTACTTGTCCGCTCATACGCCAACCAATTATGCGTGTACAAAGAAGTCAGGGAGATTCGCAATAGATATATATATATCCTAGGTAGTAGGAGTACGCGAACGCGATACGTGTGAGAGATAGGAGATCTACAAATATATCTTGCAACAATCATCGAGCGAGTGCACGACTCTCGTTACCGCGTATCTCGCTCGTGTTATTCATAACTCGTCTCTCGGCCGTGACCTCATCCCCGCCGCGGGAATAAAAATCAACGGAAAAGGTGGAAAGCCGGCGCGCGATCGCGTGACTGAAAAACCCGACTCGTCCTCCGTCGCAGTCGCAGTCGCAGTCGTTTCGCCGATAATAAAACGCAGCTCGTTTCATCTCGTCTCTTATGGAGTTACGTAATTGCTCGGGCGCGCGCGCCTCCACGGAGGAGAGCGCCGGTTATTATGCCGCGCGAGCCCCTTTAAAAACAGCTAAACGCAGGGAGGCCTTCAAGAAGCGCGAGACGGTCTCTCCCCGCCTAATGAAGCATCTCCTTTAACTAATTTACAATCAGCGCTTCCCGCGCCGACGGTCGACGTGGACGCCGAATGAGATGCCGGAAGAAGCGCGGCGAGGGGCTGACGGAGGGGAGGGGGGCGGGAGGGGGTCAACGAAGGGGCGGAGAGGGGGAAGTAGCCAAGTTCCCGTACTTTCTCTGTGCCGCGGCCCCGCTGTCGCCTTCATGACCTAGACGGAACTCTTTAATTTTTGCCATCGAGCGCGACCGTGGCACATCCTCTTTAACTCATTAGACTCAATCAATTATACGGGCGTACGGTTACAGGCTCTCTCTCCTTTTCCTTTCTCATTCTCGCCCCCGCGTCTTCTCCCCGCCTCTCTCTGTCTCTCTGTCAGCGTCACCGTCGCCCCGCGTGTCGTCCTGCTGCTCAACAACCCCGTCTTAATCCCTCGACCGAGACCCCGAGTGGTATCCCGAGATACCAGGGTTTACCGAGGTAAACCTCTTAGCGTTCCGACGCCGCGGCGAGTCAAGGTCAAGTCGCGAGTACACGTGATGCGCCGTTTTCGTGTTTTCTATCGAGAATCCGCGATCGCCGTGACGATGTGACCGCTGGAGAGCTTCCTTCGCTTTCCGCCTACCTGCAACAGAAAATGAAAACGCGCGTTAATATTGGCGGCGACGCTTTCGCAACGTTCTCGCGTGGACGTAATGAAACGCAGCAAATTGTGCTCTCATTTCACCTTTGCTCGATACGCGTGAATGAGGACACATGCGCGGAGAAAACAGCTTTTTTCACGTATATACATTATTTTCAACGCTATCATATCTCGCAGGAACAAACCAGTGAAATTTATCTTGCCGAGGAGTGTACTTAATCTTTCCAACAGTAGATATTTCACTGTTCCTAAAATATAAATAGCATGCGTGCACTGTGAGAGAAAACGTATCTAAATAATAAAAAATTACTTATTCGGTATTGAATACTGATAACATATTTACTTCAATTTAAATCCTTCTACATAAATAGAACAAACTGTTGTTTTCATGAAAAGCTCAGGCTTTGAGAAAATATATATTTTCTTATTTGGGAAGTATTGTCCATTAGAATAAATATGTTATCAGTGCTCACCGAATATAAATATCCCTTATTTCTTGAACATTTCTTCCCTTAGTGTGTGGAACGGAAGAATAATAAATCAAGTCGATATGTATCCTTGATTGCAAAGTTCGACAGTAATTTTTACTGTGAAATTCTTTTCATGCCAGACAGAAGTGATCTCTTTGTTTAATACCGAAAACATACTCGTAAAGTGTCTAATAAATTACAGTTGCACTATAAGCCAACGCATAGACATCCATTTGAAAACAGTAACGACATAGAATCCGTTTTTCCTCGAATCACCACGAATGATCGTGATTAGTGTCATTCATCGTTACGTAATGCTTCAAATCAAACAGCTATTACGAGAACGATCGTTAAGTAACTACTAACAGAATCATCAAGTAATTCCTCAAATTACCACTATCATTATCTGTTGTGTGTATGTATGTATGTGAAAGTAACAGAATCCACTATCGCGTGAGGCATCGTCGCCTTCCTCAGGGCCGAGAAAGCCAACGAAGCAGCGTGCCTTCGCGGCGCTGCGACTTCGTTATCTTAATTTCACGTGCATACAAGCACGATGGGAACGTGTTACATAATAAGGCGGCTTATTTATTTGCCACACGACCACGGACACCGTTATGTCGTCCGATAAGCACCTCGATAGCCGCACCAGGTCGCATCGGCCAGCGTGACAGTCGAAACCTTATCGCCACGCATCGCTCGTTATTCGTCAAGCCGCGACGAATGCGTGGAATTTCCACATGTTCGAGCCCGACGAGCCTTTCCCTCCCAACTCTCTGCGAAGAATTTACATGAAGCGCGATGTATTAAGAGGTGCCGCAGGTCTGCACTTTTTACCTGAAGCAGTGTCGCACTGGAACTTTACTCCTTTTCTGCTTCACTAAGCTTCTTCACTTTTAACTTCTAGATTAACACAGGGTGTGTGTGTGTATGTGTAACGATGTTCACTATATTTTTACCAGTTACAATAATCGGAGAGGAAAAGGTTCTAGATGCAGTTAATCAGTTTTTAAACGGCAACAAGATGCAACAATAAAAATTTCAAAAATATTCTTTTTTTCTTCGTGTAAAAGTCAAGATCATTTTTATTATTTTTTTTTTTAGATGGAATCCCAGATCTGGAAATATTTATTCACCCACAGTATTGTAAAGAAAGTCAAGACAAATTTGACAGTAAATCATGTTATCTTTATCGTTAGTTCACGGCTAGAAGGAGCACAAGCATGCAAACATAGATCAAAATATCCTAATTGATGCGACATAAAAAGTTACACATTGCAAAGAACGGAGTTTTGCAGAAAACAAACAAACATTATCGCATTTTCTGTCTGTATTTTTACTGTTAAATGTTAGTATAAAATAATATTATAAGTTCCTATTAAATATGTTTTGATCCTTTTTACTACAGATAAAAGTACGTATATTTCCATTTAAAAAAGTAAAAATAATCTTGTTTTTCTTTATGAGAAAGAACATTTTCATAATTTTTATTATTACATCTTATTGCTGTTTAAAAATTAATTAATTGTATCTAAAACCGTTTTTTTTTTTGGCTCATCATTGTATCTGATAAAAAAAAGGAGATATCGCTATGTGTACGTATCCTCTATACTTGTTTTACTCTAAAAGCAAAAAGTGCAATTTAATTCAACTAAAAAGAATATATCCCTAAAGTAATCAAGTATTAAAATGAGACACGTCTTTAAAAGTCTGCATAGAGAAAATATTGCAGTGAAAATTTTATATTAAGATTATATATATAATTTTCAATGTCTTTTTTGTAAAGCTGGACTACATTCTGACATTATAATACAAATTACTATAAAAATAGTAAATTGAACGATCTACCGAGTATATGATATAAAAAACATCCAAGCAATTACAATAATTTTGCAGTGAAGAGTCAAATGTGCGTAACAACGTTGTTAAACTAAAATATTCCAATTATAATTTTTGCACGGTCCACACGATTACAAAATTTTGTTATAATCTTTACTACAATATTTCCTCTACTACCAATTTTCTTAGATGAGACTATTGTGTTTTAATTCAATGATATATATTTGTATTCAGTGACATATAAAGTTGAGAATACTTTACTCACACAAGTAATGTATTCTGAGAAAATACGCGATTTACACGCTACACAGCTCAAGTAGAAACCGATAAGACTCCCATAAATACCAGAGTACTTATGGCGCCCGCAATATTCATCGTTAAAGCTGCGCGATCACTCATCGGCGACTGACTTAATGAATCCGTGCTGTCGGTCAACATCATGCCCCGACGGACTATATCCGACCCAAGCATATGTTCATTTAAGTAGTTATCGATTCCACGCGCGGTCATGTGAGACGATAATAATAGCGACGATAATAATGTCGCGTGTGTGTGCGCTCGGCGAATTATAAATACTCGCCGGTGCAATGCGTCGCGCGCGAAATTACTCGTCGGACGCGATTCCGCGCGCAAACACGTTTCCCGTCGCGAACGTTGCGGCGGTTGTAAACAACGTTGCGGTATTGTTACTGTTTATACGTCGTGTGCGACTGAATAATTATTAAGAATTGCACAATATATGAAACGCATTATGCGCTGCAATGGCAAACCTCGGTGCGCCGTGGTTCGAACCGAGTGTTCCCGATTTGGACCGCAGTTTTAGCTGGAATAATATCTCTCCATGCAAAGTGGAGAGGAAAGTGACTCGGGAAAGGAATGGAAGAATTGTCGGAGAAATTTTGACGTCATTGCGAAAGTAACGTTGCTGTTTCAACGTGATTCTTAAACCTCACACTAAGAGAAATTATCCGATAAAAAATTAACAAACAGATATTTCCGATCAAAATACCGACGAATTTTTATATCCGATCAGAATATTCGATTAAATTTAATCGAATACTTCCGATCATAATTACATTTCATCAGACAAACCGATCAAAAAATTATGAACCGATATACTCGTCGATGCAATGCAATTTCTCATCGGATGTTTCTTGATCGGATACAAAATTTTCATCAGTATCTTGATCGGAAATATCCATTTGTTAATCTCTTATCGAACAATTTCTCTCGGTGCACTTATTGGAAGAGAATGAAAATATTTGCTATCCTCGTCCGGGGATTTACCAATACCTACACGAAGAGAATTTTATAGTAAAAGTAGAATTTTGCAATCGAGGGATAGATCGATAGTCTGCAGTAATTGAGTATCCTTTCACTTCGTATGTGCTATTTATATTTCAGAAGTTGAAATATGCCATTTTAAACAATTTGTTAACAGATAAATAGGAAAATTTTAGCAAGATTTAATACGTTCCCCTTAGCAAGATAGACTTTACTGACAGTCTACTCCACCACTACTAGACTATAGTAAAATAAAAGATAATTTATATATGGAAAAACACAATATAATATTCTCTCTCCGTAAAATCGACTTCTTTGCGATTCTCAATTCTTATAGTTATCTAACACTTCTGTCAATCCAATAGAATTTTGAATTTGTATAATTCCTGGGGTAACTTGTCGACAGAAACTCCCAGCTACGTCGTAACGTAGTTGCGTGCACATAGTCCTCTGCTGCTTTTATCGCCGCGAACCCAGTCATAAATAATTTCCATGACGAGGATAGCAAATATTTATTCTTCTTCATCACTCGTGCCAAGAATCGATAAGTTGTCCATTAGTTTGCGAACGCAAATCATTGTTAACAATGACGAGCATATATTGGATCAGGCTCCGGGTCGTAAAATATTTCGCGCGGATATCGACTTGAGGGGGACAAAACGTGACTTATGACGCAAGCGACCCTCATTACTTCAATAAACGTTTGCGACAGCGGACAATTTTATCCACATCGTCGTGGCGGCATTAAACGTGCTGTTGACGAGATCTTGGTTGGAATTTCAGGGGAAAGGGCAAAGGACGGAGAAACGTGCATAGTAAGAGGAACGGGCGCGTAGTCGGCGCGATTTCGTGATATTATGCAGGACAGAGCGGCAGGAAACGGTGTAACGTCGGCAGTAGGCCTCGTGTACGAGGGTGGAATATGCTTAACGTTAATTTGTACGATAAAGGAATTATTGATTTTTACTTAGGCGGCCCAGTCAAGGGTGAGAGAGAAAGAATGCGACGGAGGAGGGAGGCTAGGGGAATCTTGCTTTAAAGTGGAGGTACTAATGAGACGCCTTTAACGTGTCGTTATGCTGCCTCACGGCAGGAATCCTTAAGCCGGCGATGCCATTCGCTCTCTCGCGAGAGAGACGCTTTCTCTTTAACATTCCGGGACGTTTTAACGATTTCTATAGAATCGCGCGTCTAAAATTGACGGAACGCCGGTCGTTATTTTAGTTCGGTCCCAACGTTCGCTTGGTTTTCTTCCAATTCCCTAAGAAAGGTCCTTCTTCGCGATCTGACACGACGAGCATTTTCGAGAACGACGGAAAAATCTCCAATTGAGATCGATTTTTTTCGCGGATTCTTATCTGTCATTCCAGACACCTGAATTTATTATCG